TAAATCTTTTTATTCCACAGAAATAAAATATCTCAAATGAAATATTAGTACAAAAATTATTTTGAACACAGTAGTTATGCTTAAAGAAATTCAGTGGTGAATACTTACTATGATTAGAATCATCACAATGTAATTTATCTTTCTTGAATATATGCATTTTTGTGTGACAGGCTGATTTTTTTTTCCTTGGAGGGTAGAGTCATTGTATTGATGAAATACCAATGAAACAAACAAAAATGAAATGTGGATAAGCTAAAAATCTGAAATTAGATTAGTTGTTGAGTAAATATACACAATACGCAAAGAAAAAAGATTAGTATCAAAATCCAGAAACAATGGGGAAGGATAAAAATTCTAAACATTTGAAGATGAAAATATATTTACATCTAGTCAATTTAGTTTAACAATAGGTAAATGCCACAAAAAGGGGGTCAAAACAATACTGTTACCATTATTCACTAGGGGTTTGATGGCCAAAATTAAAACAACCCTCTGGTTAACTTTTCACCTTGATTTTGCATTTCCCTATGTCTTTAGTTTGGTCACTTCCTTTTCCTTCAAAGATCCCACATTAAGGATGGGGGAAGGGAGTGAATATTAATTTGCAGAGAAGCAGCTCATTACATGACCATTTTGAGTAACACCCAAATCCTTATGTAAACATGGATCATGTGTTGAGCTTTTAATGAGTATGAATGCTTTCAAGGTAGGATTTCAAGTATTCTAAAGTTAAATGCTAAAAGTGTTTTGTTTCCAGTGACTAAAGAGCTAGCTATTTTGGAATTAAAACATAACTGGGAATGCAAGGTAGTCAAGATTCTATCTGTACCTTTCAAAACTTTGGCTTCTATGAATAAAAGTAGTTCAATCAGCCAGGTTAGAATGACCTTCAGATTATCAGTCCGGAGCATTTAGGCTATCCTTCATGTGTGAATACAGTTTATATAAGTTTCTACACTCACATTTTTAAAAACCTTACAAGCTGATAGTAGTAACATACAGAGGGAATTATTACCCCCAAGTCTAGAAATTTGCAGTCTTTCAATGTTCTTTTGTGAGTATTAAAGTTTTACAACTTAAAATTACAGGTATACTACAACTTCAATCAATACTTCAAATTCATATACAAGAAAGACTAGACAGTGATGATTCACTTTGTCAAAGAATGTGTCATTGAAAGTCTGTAAATAGCTCATCTATGACAGAATATGGCTTCTCCATAAAATCATGGATATCTAGTAACTGCTTTCTTCTTTTTTTTTCTGAAATTAACAAATGGTATTGCCAGTAGTATCACATTGAGTTGCTATCTTTTCTTCTGAAGATGCCAAAGCACTGCCACATCTGTGACCTTTTTCCAAAGTTTTTCAGTCGGTTTGGTAGTTTAACACTCCTTTACCACAATGTTATTTCTTTTTAGTGATAGGGAAACTGAGGGATTAATAGACTTGTCAGCAATCACAAAACAAGATTATAGCAAAACCGGAGCTTACTCTTGATCTATCCAACTAGGAAATGTAGTTTAAAAAAAAAACTTTATCCTGAGTGGCCACATATCATATTTAAAAAGAAAAATAAAGAAGTAATATAGTCATTAATGGATTTTGTTTGGATTTTCTGTTGCCCTACACTGCAGCATTTAAACAACTTGTAAAACCACAGAGTTAATATCTTACATTCTAAGTTAAATTCCATAAAATATAACACAGGCCTTAATAGGACATTATGTTTATTATCAGTTTGAAATGCATCCTTTACTTTTACCAAGTTGCTACATTTTGCTTGAACATCAAAGGTCTTTGGACATCAAGGAAAGCTTCACTAAAAAAAAAAAAAAAAAAAAAAGACATCATTGTTTCACAGTATATTAAACTCAAAAAGAGTATTTAATAGAAGTTTCCTTAAAACACCTCATTATCAAGTAGGCATTTGTGCATCTCAGTCAAATTATATTTTTCTTTATGAAAGTAGTTATGGAATTTTATTAGCCTTAGTTCTTTCTCATTACATTTTTTTTCCTTTTTGGGCAATACCACACAATGGACTCACTGAAGGGGTTTATTAATATGATATTGTTCCAGAAATGGAACCCTAGGAAAATCATACTAATAAATCAAGCACCACTTATTTAGACAACTGATATTTATTTCTACCAAATGCTTTCTGGAACCTGAAAACTATTTCTCCATTTTGTATTTTTCTATTAGGTTGGCGCAAAAGTAATTGTGGTTTTTGCCATCATGTAAGTGGCAAAAACCACAATTACTTTTGCACCAAACTCTAATAATTTGGTAATAAAAAACACAGAAAATAAGCATAAGCTATTTCTAAACTCCGGAAAAAATTGTTAACTGGGCTATAGGTAGTCCAATTCTTAATACACAACACAGAGAATGTTCAATAAATGTCACTGTCTGGTAGTATTAATGCTAAAGGGTTACTTCTCTTTGCCTAGGCCGTTGCTTAATTTCTATGGAAAGTATTTTCTTTATCCCATAATGTTTAATGTATCATTATTATTTTAAATATATTATATCTTCATTTTAAAAAAAAGTCAGGTTTTCTTGAGTATCTAGAGTTTACATTCCAGGATTTTCTATGAAATAATGCACCATCTGGTACTGATATAGTTAGATAATAACCTACGAAAATTTGGGGGTATGATGTTTGCAGATGATGAAAAGATCTTGCTGTAGCAGTTTTTTATTTTATATCAGTAGAAATTCTCCTTAATTTTTAACTGCTATTATTCCCCTGTATTATGTTTTATAAATGTACCTCATGCATCACTGCAATTTGAAATATTTGAAAAAAGTACCAGGTACAGAAGAAACAGTCAAATTGGGGGCTCTAAGAGCAGTAATCGAGGATTCCCACAGCCTCTAGTATGGTCTCTGGGTGCAGGCATGCAGCCTGGTAACTGCATTAAGACTCCTAGTCTTGAGGTTTGGGACTCCAGGGATCTCTTTCTTCCAGTGAGTTAGGCTACCATGTTACTTATTAACAACACTCTATACAGGGAGAATGTGTACTTGCATATACATCCTGCTTTCTATCATTTAAATTAGTTATTTAAAGGCTTTCAATTCTCTGTGGACCAACTTATGAATTACATACTTTTTTATTTAGATATAACTATGCCACTTTTTGTCCTCTACATTGATTTCAAACTTAATTGCAAAAATCAGAATTCTTATTTCTTCATAGCAGTTTGATGTAATAAATTCTGTACATTTTTTTTAGGGCAAATGTATAAAAGTAGCTAGGGCCTTTAAACTTTTGGAAAACAGTATTTTCAAGAGAACTATTAAACACAAACACAAATCCTTAAACATCTAAACGAGACTTTTAAAAGTTATAAATCATACGCTTTTCCTAAGATGTCTTTGAACACCTTTAGCACCCTCATTACCAGAAATTTAGTCCACTTCTGGATCTCTTCTAAATTATCTTTATCTTTCCTTTCATCTCATAATATATCCTTTTAAGGAGAAATGGTCTTACAGATTACTTTAAGATTTTTCCTTTAAATATATGATTTAAGAGTATTATAACGAGTAATCAAGAAGTTTATATGATAAAATAATGTAAAGGGATGAGCAGGCATATAATACTCATTTTTCCAAAAGCACCACCATCAACACTACCCATTGATAACCACCTTAAACAATCTGGTAAATCAATCCAAAATTAAATTAAGCTTTTATAAATTCATATTGGATTTAACCATTTGATCTAATTTATTGATGGAAAACTGCCTCTGACAATTACTGAAATTACAGATTTAGAAAAGAAACATTCCATTAGCTATCGCTGCCACAATAGCATAACGTTACATTTTATTCCATTACTTTCGCCCACCCCCTTAAGAAACAGGGATTTTATGTGGTCTTATTTCACATTCTGACTCTAGTCACTTGGGTTTGGAGGGCATGGTTTCCACTAAGATTAAAAGACCTAGTTGTATAAATTACAACTAAAGACCTAAAAAATTCTCTGCAAATTTAATTCTCAAAACACCTTTTGGGATTAAAAAGTATTTCTATTCTTCAAAGATTAGAGAACCGAGTTCAACGATTTACTGATTTAAGTTATCATAATGTGATTGCTAACGCTGCAGTAGATATGAAATCTCGATTTCCATTAAGACTTAGATTTTACCTAAATGATGACTGCTTTAGTATGTCAAAGTTTAGGAGCCCATCCCCATTTTTTTTTAACTGCTTAAAAGAATGGCCTTACCATTTTCTTTGGCCAGGAACTAGCTACAAGATGATAAATTTGCCAGTACTTTCTTTTCATAGTTATGCTTTGTACTGCAACAGGAAAGGGTGCTTTATCACTCGTTATGGTTGTTTGTGGCCCAATCCAAATCATATAACACCCTGGCTGCTACTAACAGTTTTAGAATAAACAAAAAGAACTATAATGCAGTAGGTTCTACATTTATAAAGCCTATAAGCTGATTCCGTGCCGAAAGTAAAAACAGTGTCAGGAGTTTAAATGAATCCTGGAATCACAGCAAATTCAGGAAATTTAGGAATACGTTGGTAACCCTTAAGCTTTTTAAAAACTGACTTCACCCTGGGCAAGTAACCATCCCCTGATGCCGTTGTTGGAGACAGAATTTCTGGCAGGAAGATAATTTTCTGACTCAATCTGGCTTGCTGTTCTTGTTTAATCATCCCCATTTCTCTGAACATTTTACTCCTCTGACGACAATGGTCAACATTTATTTTCAGAAGTTTTAAAGTGATTTAGTTCTTCCAGCCGCATCTCTCTTTATCCCATCTAAGTTTTCCCCAGCCCCCATTCCTATCGCCCTCGTTTCACTAAGATTTTGCTAAACATTAGACACAAGCACATGACCTCCAGTCTTCCAATGTCTCGGAACAAACCGACGTAAAAACATCTGATTAGTTCCATTGTAAGCTTCCCTAGGCTTGGAATTTAAAAATTGTCTTTAGCTCGTCAATTCTTAAAGAACCTTCAACACAAAATTTAAATTTAAAAAATTTTAAATAAAGAAACCGCTCCCTTTTTTAACCTTTAGCTCCGCCCATTGCCCCCCCCCCAAGTTCCACGCGATACTGCAGGAAACCGGAGGGGGCGGAGCGGTGACGTCACGACGCCGGTGCGTCACGGAACGGCGGCGGCTGCGGCGCTGGCGGTAGCTGCGGCAGCGGCGGCATTTTAGTCGGCAGCGGCGGCGGCAGCGGGGCTGCTGCTTCTCCCAGCATCCCTGGCGCGGCCATTTCAGCCCCATCTTGGCCCAGCGGAGGGAGCTGCAGCCGCCGCTTCAGCAGTGTGAATTTCAGTTTCTCCGGGGTTTAGGAATTGGGCGCACCGAGAAGGAGCCGAAGAAGCCACCACCGCTACCTCACACAGCCGGGGTGCCTCCGCTCCCGTGCCAGCGGTCTGCCGCCGCCGCCGCCCCTCTGTGAGAGAAGCCGCGAGGGGAGGCCGAGACCGCCGTCGCCGCCCGCCCGCAGGGGTGGTTCCCCCTGTAAGGGGAGGACCGAGCCGGCTTTCCCCTCCCCCAGAGCGGGTTTCCGCCAGAGAGAGTCGACATGTCCCTGGGGTTGAGCTCCGGCTAGAGCCGGGGAGGGAGGGCCGCCTGCCCGCGCCGCAGCCCCACCGCCCGCCGGCGGACCTTCAGCCAGCTCCGGCCCGCGGCTCCCGGCTGAATCAGGCATCTCCGACTCCGGACTCGCCACTCCTTCCCTCAGTCGGAGAGCCCAGCGCTGACGCCGGCACCGGCCTGAGGAGCCCGAGCGGGGCAGCACCGCCCCTCACGCCGCCGCCGCCGCCACCGCCACCGCCTCCTCCTCCTCCTCCTCCTCCTCTTCGCCCTCCCACTCCCACCCCCAGCCAAGGCCTGCTGACCGCGCCGAGCGCCGAGCTGGACTGACCACGGCTGCCCGGAGACGGGAGAGGAAGCAGCCGGCCCGCCCCTGGGTTCGCGCTCTCGCCGCCTCTGAGGGAATTGAATTGAGGCGCCGCGGCTGCGGGAGCTGAAAAGGAAGGAGGAGCCGCCGCGGGACTGAGACGGGGGCAGAGCCGAAGAGACAGACACAGAGAAGGAAACGAGGAGGAGGATGTCTCACCGGGCGACCAGCGCCTGGATCAGCTCGTGACTCTTACAGCGGCGGGCCTCGGACCCCAGCGCAGACTCGGACTTTTGTCTTTGGGGGCCCGTGCTCTGCCCTCCCTGGTTTCCGGCAGGACCCGGAGGAGCCGGCGTGCCTCTCTGCCCTCCAGCCTTCTTCACCATGTCCAAGATGCCGGCCAAAAAGAAGAGCTGCTTCCAGATCACCAGTGTCACCACGGCCCAGGTGGCCACTAGCATCACCGAGGACACTGAGAGCTTGGACGACCCGGACGAGTCACGTACAGAGGACGTCTCCTCCGAGATTTTCGACGTCTCTCGGGCCACGGATTATGGCCCTGAGGAGGTCTGCGAGCGCAGCTCTTCCGAAGAGACGCTTAACAATGTTGGGGATGCGGAGACTCCCGGGACCGTCTCCCCAAACCTCCTTCTGGATGGGCAGCTGGCAGCGGCGGCTGCTGCTCCCGCCAACGGAGGAGGAGTCGTTTCGGCCCGGAGCGTGTCTGGGGCGCTCGCCAGTACCCTGGCGGCGGCCGCCACTTCGGCCCCCGCCTCAGGAGCACCCGGCGGCCCTCCGGTCGCGGGCTCATCCGCCGGGCCAGTGACTGCAGCCCCATCTCAGCCTCCCACCACTTGTAGTTCCCGTTTTCGCGTGATCAAGCTGGACCACGGGAGCGGAGAGCCCTATCGACGCGGCCGATGGACGTGTATGGAATACTATGAGCGGGATTCAGACAGCAGCGTCCTGACTAGATCCGGGGATTGCATTAGACACAGCAATACTTTTGACCAGACTGCGGAGCGGGACAGCGGCCTGGGCGCCACCGGAGGGTCGGTGGTGGTAGTAGTGGCCTCCATGCAGGGGGCGCACGGGCCCGAGTCGGGAACTGACAGCTCCTTGACTGCTGTGTCACAGCTACCCCCGTCGGAGAAAATGAGCCAGCCCACTCCGGCCCAGCCGCAGAGTTTTAGCGTTGGGCAGCCACAGCCGCCGCCGCCACCCGTAGGTGGGGCTGTGGCTCAAACCTCGGCTCCGCTGCCGCCGTTCCCTGGAGCCGCGACCGGGCCGTCGCCAATGATGGCAGCCGCGCAGCCCAGTCAGCCCCAGGGAACGGGGCCCGGGGGACAGACTCTGCCGCCGACGAATGTAACCCTGGCGCAGCCGGCTATGTCCCTGCCTCCGCAGCCGGGCACTGCAGTCGGCGCTTCTGCTGCGCAGCAGCCCCAGCAGTTCGCGTATCCTCAGCCTCAGATACCGCCCGGACATTTGCTGCCCGTCCAGCCCTCCGGCCAGAGTGAGTACCTGCAGCAGCACGTGGCCGGCCTGCAGCCGCCAAGCCCCGCGCAGCCGTCGTCCACCGGCGCCGCAGCGAGCCCCGCCACGGCGGCTAGCCTTCCCGTGGGCACCGGCCAGAATGTCTCCTCGGTGGGCGCGCAGCTCTTGGGCGCGTCTGCCCAGCCCAGCGAAGCCATGGCCCCCCGGACGGGACCAGCGCAAGGTGGGCAGGCCGCGCCATGTCAGCCGGCTGGAGTGCCCCCGGCTACTGTGGGAGGCGTGGTGCAGCCGTGCATGGGTCCTGCCGGGGCTGGGCAGCCCCAGTCCGTGCCTCCACCGCAGATGGGTGGCAGTGGTCCGCTGTCAGCCGTACCTGGTGGCCCTCACGCCGTGGTGCCCGGAGTTCCAAACGTGCCTGCAGCCGTGCCCGCTCCAAGCGTGCCTAGTGTGTCTACCACTTCTGTTACTATGCCAAATGTACCCGCGCCTCTGGCCCAGTCTCAACAGCTGAGCAGCCATACGCCAGTCAGCAGGAGCAGCAGCATAATCCAGCACGTTGGGCTGCCCTTAGCGCCAGGCACACATAGTGCACCAACAAGTCTACCACAGTCTGACCTAAGCCAGTTTCAGACTCAGACCCAACCTTTAGTCGGGCAAGTCGACGATACTAGAAGAAAATCAGAACCCCTACCTCAACCACCACTTTCTCTCATTGCTGAAAATAAACCTGTTGTGAAGCCGCCTGTTGCAGATGCCCTGGCAAACCCCCTTCAGTTAACACCTATGAACAGTCTGGCCACCTCTGTATTCAGCATAGCTATTCCTGTTGATGGTGATGAAGACAGGTATGGAAATATCTATTTTAAATATTTGATAGAAATGCTTGGCCAACATTGTAGCTTAGGATGCAACTTTGGGAGATTTGTTGTCAACTGAGCCCCTTAGCATTTTTAAATACAAAATTTAGTGTTTGGTAAAATTGATTTAGATTGCTGATGTCAAAGGGTGTAATGAGCGAATTGGTCATGTCACAGTTGTTTAAAAGCACTAAAATGGGTCAGGATGCAACATTGTTTACTCAAAAAAAGGTGAATTTAAGCTTAATCCTTACCATTTAATGGTAGTAGCTAGTATGTTATGCTCCCATAGATTTGTTCTTTTCTTACATATCAGTCACACTTGAACACTTAAGGCAGAGAGATCTGTCAGTGTGAGTTTTGAGGCTGAGACATAGTATTACTTACAAATTTTCCTTTCTGGAAAACCAGAAGGCCCTCTAGTGAAAAAAAAAAAAAAAAAATCCATGTGAAGAATCTCCTCCAGTGTATCTGGAAAGGCTGGAGACATAATGGTGAAATGTCAAACCCGGCTTTGAAGATCATACTTAGTTCAGCCTTTTGATTAAAGAAGGTACACCCAGAGACTTCTCTAAGATACTTTTTTTGTTGTGAAGCAAAAACTGTACTGGAAAGATGTTCTTACCTTCCATCAGTCTATTTACTATAGGAAAGGGAGGTTGAGATCGATCCTTTAACTGTAGTGAAAGCTATAGTTCTTGAAATTTAAGAGTAATTTTTAAATAAAAGTGTAAATGTTAATAACTGGCTCCCTGTATTTAGGGATGCTTTTTTAATGGCCTAAATAAGAATTGGTGTATTGCTACACCGATACCACAAGAGCTGATATTTGGTTATGGTTTAATGAGGATTTTTGTGGTTTTGAGGAAGTGTCACATGTAAATTTGACATATATATTGCAAATTTTTAAAAGCTGACTCGTTGTAATGTTTTAAAATTATATTTTAAAATTATAGAAAAAGTTTCACGAATTTCACAGACATTTCTTTGCTGGGGTTTTTGTTTAGCGAGAGGCTAATTTTAGGTGTTTTTAAAAGATGAAAAGTGGTATTATGGATTTCCAGAATAATTAGTGTGTGGAAGAATACAATGACATATATGTTAAAGCTTTCTCTTTCTATGGTTTCTTCTGAGTTCCTTCATGTTTCTTAACCTCCCATTTCTAATTAGCCTTGTATTTTTGTTATATACTTCTGTTGGTTTGAAGAATACTCACTGAAATTCATTCATCTTCTCTGCTTTTTGTAATTTAAAGTTCATCTTTTTTTGTAGGTGACTTACTTATGGGGAGTCTTTCTTCACTTGAGAACGCGTAGAGAACACCACGTGTCCATAAGTGCGCTCAGCTAGCTAGTCATTGAGAAATTTTGTGTGGATGGGACTACCAAGTAAACTGATTACACGAGCCACTCAGAAAAATCTGTCTACTTTTTATAGTTGCTCCCATTGTCACACACAGGGACACACCTGTAACACAGATTGAGCTTTATTTTTTCACTTTTGGTAATAATCAGCAGGCATCTTCTCTTTTCTAGCTGCCACAAGCCAATTTTTTCCTGATAAGTTGGCAAATAACCTTTTCTTTCCTCTGTTCCTGTATACTGCCCATACTGCCCCATATCTCTTCAAGCAATGATGACTGGTTTCCTGACCTACCCTGCTTTCTATACACACACACCCCTCCACCCAAGAATGCAGATTACATTTTCTCTCCTCTTCATACCTCTCAGTTCACAGCATACATACTTAGATTCCTCAGAACTTTAGTATGATGATAAGGCATGAAGCAGATAGTTCTGTTGATAGATGGAAATTGAAATGTATTTAGGATATGACGTCAAAAATGCATTTATTTTTCCTCTTACTGTGTTAACAGTTGGTAATCTGAAGAATCTCATTTCCAAATTTGTGAATGTTTGAACTACAGATACTACTGTATCAGTGTTCTTATCAATTGCAACAGTTAATTCAGTGCAGGGGTTTTGATGTATGTGCAGTCCTATTTTAAACATGACACTTACCTCCCTCACCCCAATCATTTAAAATCTACATCGCTTACCAAATGTTCATTTCTAATTTTTGTTATAGTCTTTCATTGGTTTTTAACTTAACATGTTAGTTTCCAAGATGTAATCTTACACATTTGACTGTTTTGTCACTGGTCCAACATACCTGGTGAAGGAATAAATCCATTGAGTAGAAATAGTTGGGTTTTTTTTGTTTTGTTTTAATAGAAAGCCTTAGTAAAAAACAGGGCATTTTAAAATTTTGTGTTTGAAATTAAATAACAGTTTTCCAGGCATATGTTTAAATTACTGAGATGAGTACTTTTGAGGAGGCTACTATCTTAACTGAAAATTTTAATTTTAATGTGATTTTGGGTTACCGCCTTAAAATCTGCATACAGTTTTATATGCAATCATTCAAATTTGAAATAAAACCAACTGGAGTGAGAGGTCTTGAGTAATTACGATTTAAACTTTGCAAGTAGTTTGACAAATTTCAGATCCTAAGGAAATATTTGTAAATAAGATGTATGCTTTTTTAAAAAAAAAAAATTAGGACTTTAGTAAAGTCTATTTCTTTGAGAAAAGGAAGGAAAATGGGAAATTAACAAAAAGATTGAGGTGGTTTAGGTTGATACATTGAAAACTCTATCTTGAGATTTTGATTCCACTACCTAATTAATACAAAGCTCTATATTGGCTTAATTTTGAGATCATTTAGAATTAAAGAACTGGGCCTTGTAGTAATACATCTTAATATTATTACACCTTTAAAAGGCTGATGGTTGTATATGCAGAAGGTTCTCAATTAGCATTGCCTATTGACTCTACATTAATTACCATAAAGTTTATCTTTCTGGCCATTTTCATTAGAAAGGTTTATGGTCAGTTGTTGAGACTTTTCAAATTGATTTTGTGTAAACTGGTGGATGTGATGGTTGAAAATATAATTCTTAAATGTGTAGCTACTTTTATAGTGAACTTTACAAAACTTGTTTAAACTGCATACACACTTAACAGTCTCCTATAAATGAGAGGAGGTGCAAAGTATTACTGGCCCTTTTGGAAAAGGACCACAGTACAGATCACTTTCCATAGATAGCCGACCAGTGTGAACTCTGTAGGCTGCATTCCAGGAACTCTTATGAATGGCTGCAATTGTGAACTGTCATCTGTGGCCAAAAGACTGTTGAAAACCTGATTCTAAGGATCCTTTGGTGGCAGATATTTCTATGTCTTGTTAGTGGTTTTATTTGTGTGGTTTGCTAATGACCGCTGATAAAGTATTATACATTGTGAAAGTTAAGTGGTGTGTCCTGGTATGTGCCATAAATACACATTTTGTTTGTACATTTATATATATTTTAAACAAAATTCTGCTTTTTTTTTTACTTGAAGTTTAAGTGAGAGGATTAAGTAAATGTATACCAGGAGGCAGAACTGTCTCAATCTTAGATCTCTGTTATATGAAAGTCTCACTGAATTGAAGTCTCTAAAGATGGACATTTCTGTCTTGAATATATTTCTTGGAAGCTGACATTTATCTGTTAAATTGTGAAGGTAATTTTGCTCTTGTAGGTTTACAGTTGATGTGTGAATTACATACTAGATACTATCTTAGGCCTATCTACATGTTTAAGAGTGTTCTTACTGAGGAGTTAGTAATAAAAATGTCAGATCATATATATGTGATATTATTATTTAGTATAAAAACTGATATTGATGTATTCATCAGGAGCGCCACATGGATTACTAAAACATACTTTATTCATAAACGTGGCTCGAAGTAAAAGGAAATGACAGTTTTCCAAAAAGGCTTACGGTTTTCCGAAGTACCTGAAATTCCTAAACCGTGAGCTATATCTGTAGGAGTGTGGCCTTTTATATTCACAGTGACACATATTGTATAAAACTTTATGTGAACTAAATCATATAGGCCAAACATTGTTAAATATTTTTAGAAAACATAATGGCTTATATGTGTGTGAATAATACAGATTCCAACTATTTTAGTAACACTTGTTTTTTCTCTTTAGGAGATCACAACCCCTGAACTAAATCACCTTTATGAGAAGTCATTTTATATAGGACTGGTGGTAGGGGTATATATGTTCTCTACTTCCTGAGAATAAATATAATGCCAATTCATTTGTTATTTAAGAATCCTGGGCCAGGGGTGGTGGCTCATGCCTTGTAATCCCAGCACTTTGGGAGACCAAGGTCGGGATTGCTTGATGTTTGAGTTTGAGACCAGCCTAGGCAACATAGCGAGGCCTTGTCTCTACAAAACATTTAAAACTTAGCCAGGTCTGGAGGCCCACACCTATAGTTTTAGCTACTTGGGGAGGCTGAAGCAGGAGGATCACTTGAGCCCAGGAGCTGGAGGCTACAGTGAGCTATGTTATAATATTGCCCTGAAGCCTGGGCCACACAGCAAGACCCTGTCTGTAAAAAGAAAAAGAAAAAATAATTCTGATAGCACTAATTTGGAAATAGTGAAATATAGTACTGGATCTGTGAATCTGGTACTTCCCAATTAGGAATGGGAGTCTATCTGTCTCTGCACCAGAAAAGATCAGAAGCAGTTATGAACAAATGGCAGCCCCACCAATCAAGTAGTAAAGAAACCCAAATAAATCTGTTTCCTAATAGAGGAATAGTAGTTAGGAAAGTATAAAAGGATTCTGACCTTCCTTTCCTAAAATGGCAGGAGTTGGGGGCGGGGAAGTGTAGAGTGATAGCAGATTACCAAGGTGGAAGAAAATACAGTGGAATAGCATGAAATGTAGTCTCAAAAGAAATAGGAACACTTGTGAATATTGAGGAACGGTGTTCTAATTCTTTCTTTGAAGAATTGTTTTAGTCCAGTGTGTATTTCCTTTTCTGAAGATTCTGTTTATTTCTTAATTGCATTACTCTTTAAATACTTAAAGTATGAGGAAGGAGAGGCCTTACAAAAGCAGGTCTGTCTGGCTAAACATA